CTTCAGGGGAGGGGAGCAAGTGCTCGAATGTTACCTCCCTGATCACTGTGTATAAACTGTACCCTTCGTCCAACATTCCCAATCCTCCTTCCCTACTTTATTTCTCTCCACGGCAATACCTCCTTCAAATACAGTACATATGTTACTTTTTAATTTTAATTAACTGCCCAATCCCCCTGAGAATGTAAGTTCCATGACAGCAGAGTCTTTTGCCAGTTTCATTAACTGTGGAATCCCCAGCACCTACAATATTACCTGGAGCTGAACAGGTAGGTCCCTGAACAAAAGTTCATTATTTGGTTAATACATGGAAGGAGGCTGAAGGAAACCAGAGATGGCACAAATAAATGGAAAAACATTCCATGCTTATGAACTGGAAGCATAAATGTCATTAAAATGGCCATACTGCCCAAAGCAATTTACAGATTCGATGCATCAAACTACTTTTCACAGATTTAGAAGAAACTATTCTGAAATTCATATGGAACTAAAAAATACCCTGCATAGCCAAAGCAGTCCTAAGCAAGACCAAAAAAGCTGGAGGCATCATACTACTGAAATTCAAACTATACTACAACTCTACAGAAACCACAACAGCATGGTGCTAGTATAAAATCCAGACACATACATCTTTGAAATAGAACAGAGAACTGAGAAATAAAGCTTCATACCTACAATTATCTGATCTTCAACAAAAACAAGCAATGAGGAAAGAACCTCCTATTCAAAAATTGATACTGGGATAACTGGCTAGCCATATGGACAGGAATGAAACTAGACACCTACCTTTCACCACATAAAAAGTTAACTGAAGATGGACTAAAGATTGAAAGGTAAGACCTCAAGTTATCAAAATTCTGGAAGAAAATCTAGGAAATACCCTTCTCAACATTGGCCTTGGCAAAGAATTCTTAGCAAAGTCCCCAAAAGCAATTGCAATAACAACCAAAATAGAGAGATGCAATCTAATTAAACTAAAGAGCTTCTGCGCAGCAAAGAAAACTATCAATAGAGTAAACAGACAACTTACAGAATGGGAGAAATATTCACAAACGGTATATCTAATATCCAGAATCTATAAGGAAAGCTTAAATCAACAAGCACAAAACAAATAACCCCATTAAAAAATGGGCAAAGGACATGAATGTATCTCAGAAGAAGACATATAAGTGGCCAATAAACATATGAAAAACTGCTGACCATCACTTACCATCAGAGAAATGCAAATCAAAACCACAGTGAGATGCCTTCTCACATCAGTCAGAATGGCTATTAAAAAAAAAAAAAATGCTAGTGAGGCTGTGGAGAAAAGGGAACGCTTATACACTATTGATGGAAATGTAAATTAGTTTAGCCAGCATGGGAAGCAGTTTGGAGATTTCTCAAAGAACTTCAGAGCTACCAGTATTGACCCAGCAATCTCATTACTGGGTATGCATCCAAAGGAAAACAAATCATTGTACCAAAAAGACATGTGCATTCGTATATTCATTCCAACACTAGTCACAATAGCAAAGTCATGGAATGAACCTAAATACCCATCAATGATAGACTGGATAAAGAAAATATGGTACATATACACCATGCAATACCACATAGCCTTAAAAAAGGATACCATGTCTTTTGCAGCAAGATAGATGCAGCTGGAAACCATTATCTTATGCAAACTAAGGCAGGAACAGAAAACCAAATACCGCATGTCCTGACTTATAAATGGGAGCCATCAGGTACACGGAGACAAAAAGATGGGAACGACGGACACTGAGGACTCCGAAAGGGGTGAGGTGGGTCAGGGACAAAGCCTGAAAAGCTAACCACTGCATACTATGTTCACTACTTCTGTGATGGGATCAACTGTACCCCAAACCTCAGCATCACACAATATGCCAATGTAACAAACCTGAACACGTAACCCCTGAATCTAATATAATACACATGTGCGCACACACACACACACAGGGAAGGAGAGAGGGAAGGTGGTGGAGGGAAGAGACAGAGAGAGAGGTGACATAACCTATCATGCTATACTTTGGTGAGTTAAAAGAAAGTTATTTCAAGGAAAATGCACGTGGCTACTGGTTTTCAAAAAGATTATGAACCATCTGACTTGCACCAGTTTTTTTTGGCTTTCTAATTCTAAGGGAACAAGCCTATGAGGCATCATAGACAGACAGCTCTAAACACAATATTTTGTGAAGAATAAATAAAGCAGACACATATTTATATTTCTTAATCTGTCCCCACCTCCCAAAAAGGCTTGAGGCTGGGGAGCACTGTGGTACAAGAATCTTTGGAAGGTTTAGCAAAGTGTAAAAATGAAGCAGGAGTGGGTGATTTTAGAGACAGTTTCTACTTAGTGTGAAAGACAGAAGAATAAAATTTTCACAGGAAGACATAGGACAGTATCTTCATTATCTTGAAATAAACCAGGTCTTACACAGAATACAAACAGCACTAACCGTTCGAAAAAAGATTGATAAACTAGACTTAAGAACTTTGTTCTGGCCGGGCGCGGTGGCTCAAGCCTGTAATCCCAGCACTTTGGGAGGCCGAGGCGGGTGGATCACGAGGTCAAGAGATCGAGACCATCCTGGTCAACATGGTGAAACCCCGTCTCTATT